TGTGCGGTTGGCTCAAGGTCACAAGGGTCTTGCAGCCATTTAAAAAATTCCTGCTGTTATATACAATGATACAAATGGAGAAATACCTAGCGGAATGATATTGAGGCTAATGAGCTAATGGTAGAAAAAAAAATTCGGTGGTCTTGAAGTACACTGGATATTAAATGGTATGGACAGAAGCGGTGATGTCCATTGTTACAACAAATATTTCTGAGACTCACAAAAAAAAAAAAAAAAAAAAACTGAGACTAAGAGAATATTTGTTTGTTTGAAATGACTCCATTCGGTTAAAGAAGTGTTATTTTGATAGGATGTCTTCAAAACGCAAGTTTTGTCTCAATATTTTGAGACCAATAAATAATTCAGTTTTCCAAAATGGCACTCTATTTTCACCGAGAGGGTACGTGAATTTTGTGAAAATAAAATAGAGTTGACTTCCCATGCCAGTAAAAAATGTAGTTTTCCAAAATGGCACTATTTTCACCCAGGAATCCAAAACTATGGGGTTTTATATCCACCTCAACTGAAAGATTAACCCGATGCAAACCCTGTATAGTTTTTTGAGCGAAAAATACAGCAGGGGAGGCCCCCACTGTGAGATTTTATTAAAAAAAAAAGAAAAGCAAAAGCCAGAAACTGTACAGAGGAGAAAGAACAATAAAAACAAAAACCACCTAAAAGGCTGAGGGAGCCACTGGTCAGCTAAGAACTAAGAAAAGGAGTCTATAGAAAGGAGGAAAACAAAGCGCTTGTTTTCGGACATTCTAAGAGCTTAGTCTAGCCTCATCCAAAAAGGAGCATTTCCATGAGGAGAAAGAGGGTCGTCCTCTGTCAAAAATAAAGTTATTTTGCTGCTTCCATATGTGCTAGGCAGCAATGATGAAGATCTCCATAAAGAAGGGATTTTGATATTGCTGTTTGGACTGCATCATCATGTGGAAGAAGTCACTTTGAAGTCATCGTAGTCTCAATGAAAAAGAAATTGAATGTACTCTCACATGAAGCATGATAACAAAGTGTGATATGCATAGTCAATATTTGACTGTGGAAAATGAAGCATAGACAAACACTCATATATGTAGATATAAGTGCAAATGAACTAAGATTATTTTTGGTAGAATTAAAGCCAATATATGCATATGCTGATATGCATACTTCTAGTGAGTCACAGATAAACATGTTACTAACCAGCCTGTCTTGGTAAAATTCTGACGAAGTAAGTAGCGGCCATCTTTTCTCGAGAAAGTGCAGAGCGAGATACAACTGTGAAGCACGACATGAAAGACAATCGCCGTAGGCTTTGCCATAGCAATGGCTAAGCGCAACATGATGCTCCTCAAGCCTCATCGACGGATGTGGAATGGGGACTAGAATTTAGAAGAGCTTTTGGTGGAGACATAGGAGTGGGAAGCACTTTTTTTAACCATTGGCCCTTTTAACTGCAGCAAACCTTGTTGGTGGTTGGATAGCGAAGCTAACAACTCAGATGAAACAATTGGTCAGAATGAGGAGCGCACGTGGATGCGCCTTTCTCCACTGTCCTGTTGGTCATCAATCCTCATAATTTCACCTGCTGAGCTCCCCCCTTGAAGCCAGTTCCAAGCTAATGAGCCTCAGTAGTCATAACTGTCACAGCGTGTACAAATTTTGGAGAACTTGCAATGCACCAAAGGGCAAAACTGAAGGGTCCTCAATGTCAACAGATGTCCCGAAGCTATACCAGTAAGGTGCTACAATCCCTCTGTTTTGCCATCTTATCACCAAATGCCACAAGGACTGCAAAGCCCCATACTCTACGCAGTTGCATGGTTTCATTACAATACTTATATCTTGACATGCTAAATCCTCAAAATTCGCACTAACTTGTAAACCTGAGCACTTCTAGATGGCAATGCCGATTCCAAGGAGTTGCGACAACCATCAGCTCTTTTGTCACAAGTCCTCCGCATATACTGACTACTCTTGAGGGTTCCACATCCACCATATGTAGTTTCATCCGTGTTGAAGATGAGTTGGTATTCCCCAGCTTCTTCCACACCAACATGATATGACTGATGGGAGACTTCAGGATTGAAGTTAAATACGAAAAGGAAAGGCCCTCTTGTGAAAGATATGACCATGCTTGTGTCATCACAGTGAAGAATGTTGGGTGAACCTCTAGAAATTATCCTTTCATTTTCATCCAAGCTCATGACATCCTTGTCAAAGTTAAATACATGTTTATGAAAACCTTTCTCCAATAGTTCCCATTGCCGATTAGCAAACTGGAAAGAATAGTCATTGCTTGGCATAGGAAATTCAACTCTTTCTGGATGTGCAAACTCATTGCCCATGAAGTTGAGATAAGCGCCTCCGCTTGTTGTGAAAGTAATTAGTTTGATAATTTTCAGTAACGAAGAAGCTCTGATCAAATCATCATCAACAGAACCAACAGAGCACTTTCCTGAATTAAGAATTATCTGAGCGAAAGACTTGCGTCCTGATATGGACTGGTTATGATTTTCAACATACGAGAGCATATTCTGGTTACTGCTTACTAATACTTTAATAATCTTATTCATGCTCCATTCTCGTTCAGGAACATTTTCAAGATGCCACAACCACATTTCTGGAACAGTCAGATTGACCCAGTAGTCGAATCCTAATCCACCTTGAGTGGTTGGCTCACATAATCCAGGATAAAATGTTGCATCTTCAGCAATTGTTATAATATCTGGATGAAGCTGATGTAACATTTCATTTGCTAGAATTAGATATATCAGTGCATCCTTGTCAACATACTGATTGCAATACTCTTCCATGGAACCAGTAAAAGTAGAAAACCCATTATGAGTATATAACATAGAAGACAGAGAGTGAAACTGGAATCCATCAATCCGGTATTCAGTGACCCACCAATTCAAATTGGACAACAAAAAGTGCAGAACATCCACATCATCATATTTAAACATCCTGGTGCCCCAATACTTGTGATGCCCTCTTTTTCCGCTGTGGAAGTAACAGTCATTAGAGCCATCATAAAGTGATAAGCCAACCAGTTCATCTGCAGATGCATAGGAGTGGACAATATCCAGAAGCACCACTAATCCAAGGCCATGCGCCTCATCGACTAATTTCTTAAAGTCATCTGGGGTGCCAAATCTGCTGCTGACTGCAAAATAATTAGTGACCTTATAGCCAGTGGAGGAGTAATCCTTGTGCTCCACAACACCAATCAGTTGAACAGCATTATATCCAGCCTTTTTTATATGAGGTAGGACTTTGGATGTGAACTCCTGAAATGATGAAACCTTTTGCTCTGATCCACTTATGCCAACATGGCATTCATATATTCTAAGTGAACCCTTCACCTTTGGCCGTCCAAATCTCCATTTGTAAATTTCTTCAGGAGGAGGTTCCCAATGTACTGCATAGGATTGCTTCCCTTCAGCATCTGGAAGAAGGTATGTAGCCCAAGCAGGAACACGTTCTAAAGCACCATCAGGAGTATTAAAATAAACCCTGTACTTGTCCTTATGAGAAATCGTTGGGACATATTTCTCAAGCCATGCTATTCGGCCTTTCCTCATTTCAACCCAGTAAGCAAGGGGAGGTTTCTTTGCTTGAAACTTTTCAAATGATGCACGATCCGTCACAACATTGAAAATGTCAAACGGTTGGCCGTTGTCAATGATATCATAGGACGGCAACAAGCTTGAGGAGTCAGCCTTCTGCGACGCTTTAAACTCATTGTATCTTGTTCGGGCATCAGGAATTTCACCTAGCTCCTCCTCTGTTTGTGGACCATTTGGGCCAAACATTTGCTCATATAGCTTCACAACCATCTCTAACTGAGACTTACGTGACCTGATTTCTCCAGGTTCCCAATACTCTTCTTTCATCCTACGCATTATTTCTTCAGCATCAATGCCATTGTCACCTTTATCATAATCATCCACATAATTGTATTCCTGGAAAAAATATTCATCTTGTTCTTGCCCTTCTCTGAGCTTATCTTCAAGTATGATAAACCAATATCCAAAATCATCATGTCCTAAATGACCTTCCCTGGCACAGTTTTCAGTTGGCGACCGCTGATTAAAATCACCAACCACAGAACAATAGCGAGCACCTGGAGCCCACTCCATGAAATCGATGCGGTGCTGTCGATGCCGGTGCATGCCCAATAACTCAAACCCAGAAGATACCTCTTTAAGATCAATAAACCGAGAACATAGCTCCCATCTGCGGTCCTTCAAGGCTTTGTGCCGGTCACGGAGGAACTGGGCGAAGGCGCGGTCCGAGACGCCGAGCTTGGCGAGGAAGCCCACGGGGTCGACGGCGTCGCCACGGCCACCGGAGCGTTGCTGCCTCTGCTCCCGCGGCCTGGGCGGGCGCTCGCGAGGCGCGGGCGAGGAAGAAGACGAGTCGCAGCGAAATGGGTAACCATGCCGGCGTCCGGGATGAGGGCGACAGCTTGGTGGGAGATGTCCGCGGCCCGCGCAGATTGGGCAGCCGTCGGCGCCGACAAGGGGAGGTGGGGGCTGCGGGACAAGGAGGAATAGAGGGCACGACGCCATAGTTTTGAGGTTGGTGCCGTGGCTGAGGAAAGGGAGGGTGGAGCGCTCGGAGTTGCGGCGCGCGGGAGGGTGGAGCGCCGGGAGTTGCGGCGCGCTGGAGACCAAGAACGGCCGGCGACGGCAATGGTTTTGGGGAGGGATAAGCTTGGGCTGAATGACAGAAACGAGTGTGATGATGTTTTTTTTTTCCCTAAAATTTCAATTTGCACTTGCGTACGATGCAAATGGAAAGAGGGCCGATTGCAGCCCGATGGGGAGAAGCGGCCCAACTAGACGGGATTCCCCGGAGGACCCGAGTGAGGCGGCCACTCAAATAAGCAATTGGGATGGGCCCGAGCCCGACCGCCAGGATCGCTCGAACCCGCCCCAGGGCCCAAACTAGGGCTCCTCTGCCACAGGGCCTTCACCCCGTCCAATCGCCGCCGGCCGCCGCCCTCCGGCATGTACAACGGCATCGGGCTGCAGACCCCGCGGGGGTCCGGCACGACCGGCCACGTCCAGACAAGCAAGTTCCTCGCCAAGCCCCGGCCCTCTCCCTCTGAGGCCGGCGGCGGGATGCGGAAGCCGAACAAGGACATCATCGAGCACGACCGGAAGCGACAGGTGGAGCTGCGGCTGCTCGTGCTGAAGGACGCGCTCGAGGAGCAGGGGTACACGGAGGCCGAGATCGAGGCACGCGTTGACGAGGCGCGCAAGGCTGCCGAGGCCGAGGCGGCAGACGAGGAGGTGGACGAAGGCCGACCACCTCTCCAGCGCAAAGGGTATGGGCATATTGAGCAGTTAGGTTTCTCATTGGTGCGTCTCACTGTTGTATTTTTTGGTAGTCATTATCTCAGTTCGTGTGCTATTGTGTTGCCCTAGCAGTTCTGAAGCAATATCCGCACTTTCATGTTGGGTTTGGTATTCTATTGCGTATCTTCGAAGTGAAATTGATGTCCTCTGCGTTTGAGATGCTTATTCGTTTGTTATCTCTGATGAAAATATGAAATGATGTGCAATAGTATTAAGTTTAAGACTAGGTGGCACACCGTAGTTTGCACTTTACATGTTTCATTCATTCGATTGTTGTTCTGTTTGAAAATGCTGCTGCAATTTATTTCTCACACAAGATGATGATTCCTCTCAGGTTCACGGACACACAGAGCCACCATGCCGCAGAACAGAAGGAGAAGCAGCTTCGGACTATGAGGGCTGCTTTTGGGCTAGACGGCGAGAATGTGCACAAGAAAGGTGGGCTGTAGAAACTGATGTGGAGAGCTTGTTGCAAGGAAGCAAGGAGCAATGGGCGTATTCAGATACAGGCTATGTCGCTATGATCATACACAAGGCGATGAAGATGTAGAAGAGTTTCGTCCTGATTTGTGTACTAAAATGTGACCTAGAAGACACCTAAAGTATGCTAATGTAATCTGAAACCAGGGTTGTCAGTAGTGTGCAATTGTTCTGAATCTTATGAGAAGACGTCAACTTAAAATGAATTTCAGACCTACATCATATGAAGTACCAGAAGAATTTGCAATGTGGCGATATGGTTTGGTTCCTGACATTGCATTCTGAAACTCTTGTTGTATTCTAAATCTTGTAAATGCCATGCACCATGAGAAGGCACCAAGGGTATTATAAAATGGGGGATATATAACTAAATATTCATTGATCGTTAGCATGCTTGCAGGGGAGAAGAAACAGCAAGACATTTGAGCTTGGATCAGACTAATCTGCAGAACATTAAGCTTCGATCAGACTAATCTGCGGAACGCATAATTCTAGCAAACAAACGCAATGCATTCAGCTGGAAGGATATAAATCTTCCATCATGTAGATTCTAGCCACTCGGGTGTGAAAGTAGGCCTGTTCTCAGAGTCCACTTTTCAGCAAACTGAATAAGCTATACGCCGCAAGTGTTGTAGGAAGAGTAACTTTAGATATGGACTACGATCATGATTCATGACACAAGGCGATTAAGATGTAGAAGAGTTTCATCTAGTGTGTACACGAGACCCAGAACGCACCTTAAGTATACCAATGTAATCTAAAGCCATTGGTTGCCATAAGTATTAATACAATAGTATGCAATTCTTTTGAACTCTTTGGGAAGGAGGAGGAGGCAAGATGAGAATGCGCATATATATATTCATGGACTGTTAACTATTTGAGACTTGGATTTTCTGAAAGATCAGAATAATTTGGAATGCGCTGATATGGTCTGGTTCCTCGCATCACACATTCACTGTATCATGTATCATCTATCAAATTAGCAGCATACTCCGAAAATACTTTGTATCATGGTGCAGTTAGCAAACTTCAAAAATAGCAGCGAATCTTCAGTTAGCAAACTCTAAAATAGCAGCTAATCTTACTCCAAAGACGTAACTAACCTATTGCGACAAGCAGCATGCTGTGTCAAAAATCTTCGAAGGCAACTGTTGATTTTTTTTTATTGACAAAGGCTACATATATACCTACAAATAAAAAGAGAACTAAGCAATAAAAATTCAAGTCAGTTCCAGCTAAACCAGAGCCAGTTTTATCACTGTATACATATTTGAATACCATGATAACCCACTTTATGGTAGTCCCCGCCCAAAATACCAATGCCATACCTCACCATACATGCCGTTTCATCTTCACACCCATAATGAAGCACATGGGAATATGTAAGACGACTACAAAACCCAAATGTGTCCACTTTGATAGATGATACATCAAATAAATCATAAATCGCTATAACCTAGAATGTACCATTTGCAAAGCAGACAATAGTTATCATACCAATTCAGAAACTTTATAATACATCACTCCACAGGAAAATTAAAACATCAAGTAGGATTACATGAAATGAGTGACACAGTTAAATAAAACATGTCAAGCATTATATTACAAAAGCCTATATCAAGCATACAAAAGAAATGATGTTCCATAGGTGTGAAAACCAATCTCATGGTGCTATTATCGCCTTCTGATGTCCAATAGCCCCAACTTCCAGCTTCAATGAAATGTAGCATGCAGCTTCTTCAGAACTTACAATGTTGTACCCGCAAGAACATTGTAGTATGAAATGAGTGACCAGACAACAGTGACATTCATGGCACACAACCCATCAATGTCAATACTGCTATTGCTTCTACCGGCAACTTTAAGCTTTCCCTCATTCTGAACGGATACCACGCGTCTCGAAAGCTCGATACTGTCATCACCAGAAAAGGCACACTCTCACCTCCAGAATGAAGTAGGATAATCTCCTTGTCATCAACTCTAGCATCAGTAAAGGGGTAGGAAAGTTCGTTGCAGCTACACGTAGCAAAGGCAGAGAACTGACCCTGAAAACCAAGCAATGCATCAAAGTATCATCTGCACAGTGCTAAGCTTGCTAGTGTAGTCAGAATTCCACATACGCGAGTAGCCTGTGTCATGGGGTACCAACGGATCAGCAAGGGAGCTCAGTTGCTCATCCTCGGAGTGATCAGTACCCTTTACTCTAAGATCGACTTCTATGGTCACTGGAGTCGTTGACTCTAGGAAAACAACACGGCTGGGACCTGTAAGTACCAAATACGGGTGCTCTTTAGTGAGTGTTTGGCAATTGTCCCTACCGCGTTGAAAGACAATATTGCGGTTATTGTCAATGGTGTCGCGAATGGCAACCAGACCAAAAACATGAAGCGGAAACTACAATCTTGTTGGTTCAACCCTCACTGAAAAGACCTGTAGAGTCGATGTGGGACAGGCACCTTCATCTGTAGGCTTGGATGCGAAGCGCATGGCGGGGATCCTCGTGGTGTCCTCGAAAGCACAGTAGTGAGGAGAGAATACGAACTCCCAGTCACTTCGGAAGCGACTAGCTCGGTAAGCATTGTAGTCCAACAGAGATTCTCCAAATGGCAGCTTCAACCGATTCAAAATTCTCATCTCCCACTCGTTCATAGATTCCTCGTTCATAGATTCCTCTCCCACTCGTCCATAGATTCCTCCACTTTCTCTGCTTCTACTTCTGAGATGGTCGGAGGTTCCTCAAGATTGGCCTTCCATTCAGCCCATGCATCATCGTCGTCACTCAAACCATAGATTGGAGAATAAAATCCCTCACTCGCAAGCACCTCTTTACCCACTTCTTTGCCTAGATCCAGGCCCACTTCCACCTTGCTCCCGGTCTTCCGCTTAGCTTTACCATCTTTCTTCTTCTGCCACTCCTCAAGCACCCTCTTCCAGTTCACCTGACGTGAAGGGTCCATGGTTTCTTTTATCGGCCGAAATCTCCCGATATTTCCGATATATCCTTTTTATTTGTAGACGCCGATAAGAAAATATATATCTTTTTCGTACAAATTTTGTTTAAATTTATTTAAATTTACTTAAATTTAAATCAAATTTTATTTGAATTTGGTCCGATATTTCCTATATATCCTGTTTATTCTCTTTATCTGTGACCCCAATAAATTTTAATTTCCGAAAATAAAAACCTTGCAAGGGTCATGCCTACTGCTGCCACTCGCCCCCTTCCGTGCCCTTTTGCGGCCGCCCTTCCTGCTCACCGCCTCCATCTCGCACGGGAAAGGGAGCAGCGGCGACGCTCAGGCCTCAAGGAGTGGACTGTGGACACGAAACCTCGCACGGAAAAGGGCGTGGCGGTGGCGGCGAAGCTCAGCGCGTACAGGAAACCTAGACCGAGTGTTTTTCCTGCGTGGCCTGGTGTCTGAGTTTGCCTATTGTGTCTTTCCTCTCTGGGTCATTGGGTGGCCGGTAAATATATGGGTCGCAGGTCGCAGGCCGCAGCCCACCGTGTAGGTGACTCCGATTCGCACTCGATTCGAAACCCACCGTGTGCACCGTGCAATGGTAGTAGTTTAAGCCAAATTGCCAACTCGCTGCATGGGTGCTTGGCCTAACTGCGGGGACGACGCATCCCGTCCGATGATCCCGTGGCGTCACCCGTGCGCTGCAGAAGCCGCTTCCGTGTCGCCGTAGTACACGCACGCAGCCCTCTCCGGCCGCTCCTCCGTAGCCCGTAGCCGAGACGGCTGATGAGCCTGAGCACGACGAACGAGAGGAGCCTCCAGACTAGGTGGCACGCCGTAGTTTGTACTTTTCATTCGATTGTTGATTGTTGACTATGATCACACATAAGGCGATAAAGATGTAGAAGAGTTTTTCATTCGATTGTTGATTATGATCACACATAAGGCGATAAAGATGTAGAAGAGTTTCGTCCTGTACTTAAATGAGACCTAGAAGACACCTAAAGTATGCTAATGTAATCTGAAACCAAAGGTTGTCATTAGTATGAAATTGTTCTGAACTCACCTAAAGTATGCTAATGTAATCTGAAACCAAAGGTTGTCATTAGTATGAAATTGTTCTGAATCTTATGAGAAGAGGTCAGCGTAAGATAAATTTCACACCTAAGTAGTCAAGTAGATCATATGAAGTATCAGAAGAATTTGCAAGGTGGTGATATGGTTTGGTTCCTGACATCATATTCTGGAGTTCTGTAGTATTCTAAATCTTGTAAATGGCATGCATCATGAGAAGGCCCCAAGGGTATTATAAAATGGGGTATATATAATATATAATTATCATTGATAGATATCCTCGCAGGGGAGAACGAACAATGCAACATTTAAGCTTGGATCAGACTAATCTACAGAACGCAGAATTCTGGCAAAACAAAACACAATGGAAAGGAACAGCACGACATTTAAGCTTGGATTAGACTAATCTGCGGAATGCAGAATTCTGGCAAACAAATTCAACTGGAAGGATATAAAATCTTCATCATGTAGACTCGTGTGAAAGTAAGTCTGTTCTCTAAAGTTCACTTTTCAGCGAACTGAATAATCTTCAGTCGTCTGCAGATGGAAACCTTCCAGTGTTGAAAGCTATTGTGAAACGGCGCTTAGTTGAATACCGTGAAATTGTTTTCCTGTTTGCCCTTTGGATGCTCATTGGCATTAGCGGAGCCAAAAGCTTTTAGGAACCCAGACAATTCTTATTATACAAAAATATTTTGCTCAAAAATTACATAGTTCTACTTTGATATAAAGAAAATTTCCTTTTGAACGTCGGCGAGGCGACAAGCCCGGCCGGCCGCCTGGGGTGGCCGGGCGGTGGCTCCGCCACTGCTCATTGGTTGGTTGTCTCTGTTGAAAATGGTGATGCGGAATAGTTTGTTTGTTGTCTGTGTTGAAAATGGTGATGTAGAATAGTAGTTTCTGCCTAGATGGCGCACACTTTTTTTTCACTTTAC